AATATATATAATCATATATATGTATATATATGTATGTATTCCTTACATATACCATATATATACTATATATATTATATATATTATATATATAATTATTTTTATTATGTTTTTATCAAACTGCACATATTTCTACTGAAAAGTGACCCCCCACCCCCAAATACAGCCTGACCTTATTCTATTTTCTCATGTTTATGTATCTGAAGAAACTCAACTAGGGAGGCCTTGAATTTAAAAGCATGTGATACAACTGGAAGTATCTTTCAGAACCTGTGGTTGGAAAGTCATTTTTAAAATTTTTAATTATGTTGGTTTCCTGACTATAAAATGATAGCACTAAAGTGGAAAAAATGCTGATATTACACACACAAAAATGCTTCATTATAGAAAATAGAGACTGAACATTAATCTTTTTTTTTCCAGTAGAGGAAATTTTGCAATGAGGACAGCAGCAAGCAAAGCTTTTAAAGTAAAATAGCCTCTTGTTATTTATTATATTTTATATTTTAGCAGTGAAATCAATTGCTTTTAACAACTAACAAGTAATTGTTACTTTTAACATTTATTTGGAAACTTTAAAATATCACAAACACTAAATTATGTGAGACTTCAACCTATAAAACCAAGATATAAAAGTTCTGTATTAGTCTAAACACTAATTTCCTTTTTAACAGGCATGAAGGATATGTACCAAGCAGTTATCTGGTGGAAAAATCTCCTAATAACCTGGAAACCTATGAGTAAGATATTTTATTTGTTTTTGAAAAATATGGTACTAAGGAATTCTCCCTAGGTTAAGAGTAAAATATTGATTGATGGTTTCTTTTCTTGGCCTACTGTCTTCTTTCCATTCTCTGACCTGCTGGATGATAAAGGTCCACCCTAAATAAGAAAGGATGGTAGTCCACATGCTGCCCTCTCCTTTTATCAAAAGGGTGATTCTCAGGTGCCTGAGAAGATTGTGGTAAAAATAAAAGTTTCTATTGAGAATCCCAAGAATATTGATCTTACTTGAAAAGAAAAAAAATACTTTCAACACTAGATAAGATATGGACATAAAATATGGTTTAATGCAATGCTTCCAATACTAGGTTAACAGATAGATATTAAATATCTGTTCAGATTGTGTAAAGTTTTTGCTAAACCATCATTTAGAAGAAAGTCCGTGTGGATGTAATTCTAATGAAACTGCTGAATGTTTAACAAAATTTGATCATAATATGCAAAGTACTCACCATGGCCTGAAAGGTCCAGAAGCCAAGACATCGCAGTAGCAACATATACACCTACCACTAGGTCTTGATTCTTAAATAATACTCCCCACTGAAAAGAACCAGAACTTCTTGAAGAAATGGCTCCAGGATTCCAGGATTGGGGCAGGGAAAGAACAGGAATATTTTTTTTGATCCAGAAAATAGAAAAGTACACAATTGAACATGTCAAATGGACAGGTAAGTCACTTTAAAAGTCTCCCTTTGACCTAAACTGGAACAATTTAAGTATCAGAATAAATAATGACAGTAATGGACTATAATTCATTGAATCAAATAAGAATGTATACTATATAGTTAGATTGATAGGTAAGTAAGTAAGTAAATAAATAAGAGAAGACTCTTTTTCATAGTCCAGGGCTAATTAAAGAACGTAGAAGGAATGATAAAGTTTAAATAACAAGGTATCAACTTATTCAGGCAAAAATTAACGAATGTCAGAACTAAATTGATGAGGTACAATATATTTACATAGTCTCAAAGTATCTCCTTATAAATAGCTTTTAACTACAAAATGAAGAAAACTGGTAGGCTTCATTTTATCTAAGTAATCAAAATTTATATCAATATGGGATAAAAAGACATCATGTATCTCCCTGTGTAATATACTGAGAATAATATCCAGTACAACATCACTTCTGTGATATTCCTCACCCAGAAAATGCACAGCTTGAGTTCCTCATGAGAAAATATTAGATAAATTAAGGAATATTTCCGGTGTTCTTTGGAAATTGTTGAATGAAGAGACATAGTAACTAAATGCCCCCATCCTACATTGGATGGTCAACCGTAAAATATTTCTGTTGACAAATGAAATTTTGGTAGGTTCTGCAATTAGGCAGATGTTAAGTTGCAATATTTTTGTAATTTATACTTTGGCCATATAAGTGTATGTTATGTTTTAGAAAATAGACACTGAAGTACTTAGGAGTAAATATCCACTCTCAAATGGTTCAGGAAAAAAAGAAATTACTATCGATATGTATATACAGACAGAATGGAAAGGCAAATGTAAGAAATTTCAGCCACTTGTTTATCTGGGTGCAGTGTATATAGTAGTTCTTTTATAGTGTCTTTCAACTTTTCTGTAAGTTTATAATTACTTAAAACTTTTTTAAAAAATTAAGTACTCACTAAATATAAGGTGCCAGAACTGAAGAATATGAGCTAATGAAGACTCTTGTTGGGCTGGGGTTGTGGCTTAGTGGCAGAGTGCTTGCCTCACACATGTGAGGCACTGGGTTTGATCCTCAGCACCTCATAAAAATAAATAAACAAAATAAAGATATTGTGTCCATGTATAATTAAAAATTATTTTTTAAAAAGGACTCCTGTTAACTCAGTGTGGTCCTTGTTAGCTCAAATGGGGTCATGTTATTTGTTGCTGAAATTCTAATAGATTCTGTAGTGAAGAGTCATTATTTTCTTAAGAATCTCTCAACCTGAGATTTAGTTTGATCAAGTATATGCAAGATTCATTAGTTACAAGAATACTCAAGTTGAAATGAAACATATATGAGATATGTTTAAATAGAAAAAAATTATTTTTATAATCAATGTCTTTGGAGAAAAATAATAGGCATTTATTTAAAATGACCACTAAGCTGAATGGTTTCATTTGTGTGTTTAATCAGAATCTCTTTGTGTAGATTGAGAAAAGAAATTAAAAATTTTAACAGAATATAAATTAGTAAGGAATGGTGGAAATTGGCCAATAAAAAAGTGTATTCTTTCACCTAAAGAATTTTTAATAGTTTTTCAAAATAAAATGCCACACCATACAAACAAAACAGACCACTGGCCCTACTTATGCTATAAACTATCAGCTTGCATTTTTTAGGTTATAAAATCTCATATAGAAAATAAAAAGACTTATAACTAACCATCCAGATATTTAACATTCATCTAGATATATAAAAGATATTCAGTGTGATGATATTTTATCCTTGAACTTAATGTTGTCAGGTAAGCTCTGCATAAGACAAACATGTACCACGTGGTACCATAATCATAAATTGGCATATTGATTGTGGAGACATGACCTTGAACAAATACCCATTATCTGTCATACCCATTATCCTTAGGGGATATGTTTCGTGACCCCCAGTGGATGCCTAAAACCATTGGTTGTACTGAACTCTAGATATATTTTCCCACATAATCAGGCCTATGATAAAGTTTACTTTATAAATTAGATACAGTAAGAAGTTACTAATAGTAACTGATAGAATAGTAACTGACTAGAATGATTATAACAAAGTACTATAATAAAATTGCTATAATAACTACTCTTTTTTTAGCTGTCAATGGGCCTTTATTGCATTTATTTATTTAAATGTGGTGATGAGAATTGAATCCAGTTCCTCACACATGCTAAGCAAGTGCCCTATAACCCCAGCCCCAATAACTACTCTTGCACTTTGCGGCTATCATCAAGTAAAATAAAGGTTACTTGAACATAAAACACTTAAGATACTGTAGCAGTTTATCTGATACCAAGACAGCTAGTCATTTAGTAGTGGGTAGTGTATACAGTGTGGATACTCTGGGCAAAGAGAAAATTCACCTCCTGGATGAGATTGAATAGTAAGTATGAAATTTCATTATGCTACGCAGAAAAAGCACACAATTTAAAACTTGAGTTATTTCTGGAATTTTCCATTTAATATATTTGGACTACAGTTGACCACGGGTAAGTGAAATCACAGAAGGGGAAAGTACAAATGAGGCACTACTGTACTTCACCTGTTGGAGCGCAGATCTCTTCTCTGCAAAATGAAGGGTCAGACAAGATGAAGGAGGCAAATTGTGACACACTTGCTTGATGTTCCCTCCCTCTGAACTGAATTCAAGTAGATCTCACTCTTTGATAATGACCCTATTCACCCCTGTGCCTAGGCTGACTTCAAACCTTACAATGCACAGCTCTAGGCAGCCATTTCTAATTGCTTGGTGTATACACATGAAATAAGCATAAAAGCCCATGGAGGTATAAAGTCCATTCCACCATGTTTACAAGACTCAAATCAATCTAACAATTCTCTTATCCATTATTATTCTTGTAGCCAAGCAAGTTTATTCCTTCCACACCTAGAATTTCTGTTTTCTGGATTAATTGTCAAATGAAGATCATTTTACTCCTACCAAATAAGTGGCAGGGAAGGTCAGGACATGACTCAAAATTATAATAACATTCAAAAATTTATTCCCTAAAAATTATACATATTTTTCTTCACCACTTTTTATTTGTTTTCTTAATCAGATACCAAAATTATAAAAATAATTCAATTGTTTTACAAAAGATCTGGAAAACCTGTCTTAAAGAGGAAAATGTGGCAGTTGTTTTAGAAGGATATTTGCTAACTTCTCAAATTGGTGTTAGCTTTTTATAGCTACCCTAACACCCTCCTACTCCTACCACCCACTGACTTATGAAATGGAGAGGAAGACAAATATTTTCTAAAACTTCATTATGGAAAATTTATGACATTTACCAAAGTAGAGAGAATAATATAATGAATGCTCTGAAATCCAGTTTCAACAATGATCAATATTTTTTACCAATTCTGTTTTATTTTTTCTTCACCAAGTAAACATTTACTACTTGGAAATGGATCATGACTTTGCCTCTGAGTTTGAAAACACTAGTAGAAAACAAAAAATGTACATGTGATTTTCTAGCATTATTTTTTTAATTTTAATTTTTTGTTTGCTCTAATTAGTTATACATGACAGTAAAATGCAGTTGTATACTTTGATATATCATACATAGGGTATAATTTCTTATTTTTCTGATTGTACCTGTTGTAGAGTCAATCAGTCATGCAGTCATCTAGCATTATCTTTTATAAATAAATAATGAAACCATTTTAAATGTTATTGACACAGCACCTTTGCTTCATTCAGGTGGTATAACAAGAGCATCAGCCGAGACAAAGCTGAAAAACTTCTTTTGGACACAGTAAGTCTCCTTCATCTGTCTCTTGACTTAAAATAAAATAAATTGCACTGTTTTTCCAGCCATGCAGTGGTTGACACCAAGGCAGTGGATTGACATGTCAGATTAGCAATGGCTTTCATATCTGGTGACAAATGTTCTGAGGATTTGCAGAACTAGCAACTATAGGAAAGAGGGATGAGAAGAGATGAAGCATAGTATGGAGGAACAAGTACTGAATTTGGGCCCATGTTCTGTCACCAATTCAGTGTGTGACCCTGGAGACATCCCTCTTCCTTCTGAGCCTTAACGAGTACAAGGAAACAGTGCACTAAATCAGTTACCCCGTACTCCTGCTACCCCTCTGCTCCTGGTCTTGTGGACACTGTTGACCACAGCACCTGGCCTTGGGGTTCAAGGGGGAAACAAGACAAGTTCTGAAGAAAGACTCAGAGGATGGTCTAAGGTAAACAAGTAAACGCTGCAGGAATTGGGAAGAATTTTGTGGAGAAAGAAGAATTTAGTTGAGTCCTTATCAAATTTGGTTACTCTTTGGTTCTATGTCAATTCAGCACTTAATCAGTTTCTGTGGTTCCCTATGGAAAACGTGCTAGAATTGCTGTAAATGTTTAAAACAAACAAACAACAACAACAAAAAAGATTCCCCAGGTCTCATTTCCATTCCAGATCTGCAGAATCAGAATCTTCAAAGTTAGGTCCCAGGAATCTATATTTTATTTCAAGCCAAATTCACAATGCTTTTGTAGCTGCTCAGCATCTGGACCCACCCGCCAACCTGTGTTATTGAAAAACATATTAAAACCTGGCTAATCAGAACTAATTAAGAGATGGCACAATTAATTAAAAACCCGAGGTAAACAAGGGCAGTTTTAAACAAAGGCAGTTTTATTATTTTCAACCACACATTGGTTAATGAAGTCTACACAGCACTTCAAACAGCTCAGAACAATGACTAGATAAAGATGATTTCTGTTTTATAGCAGTCCTTTTGAGGCACTTAATCCATTTTTCTTGCTCAAGTACTTAAAAAAATTCCTCCTTACTAGTATTTTGAACTCCTTTGCCAAATTCTCTTCTCCTCCTTTGATAAGTCTGAGGGTAAATTGTAGTGAGTCCTGTCAGATTTAGTCCAGATTCTGGACAACTAGAATTGAATGAAAATTTCTTGCCATATTTTGCATTTCTCCTCTGCTGTTTGAAACAATAGCCATATTGTTTTATAGATGTACTTAGAGTCTTCTTATCTAACAAGTTAGGGCTCTCAAGATATGAATTGTTTCATTTCAGTTTTTATTAGCTAAAGCTTCTAGTGTATAGCCCCATACAGTTTTCTACACTGAAGTATAAACCCTTTATCATGTTCCTTCTGCATTGTGGTACCCAAAACTTTATCTTGCACAAAGTAGCTTCTAAATAAATTTTGTTGGATGCATAAATGAATATATCAAATGCTTAATAAACTTGAGAACCTGGCTGATCATGAGCATCACTGGGAAAATTTTTTAAAAACCCAAACTCCTGGACTCCAGGACTCTAGGCCTAACTAGTCAGAACCTCTAGAGGTGATACCCAGGTGATTCTGGGACTTAACCATATTTGAGAACCACTAAAAAGAATCTCCTCAGTGTCCTGTCATTTCTTCAAACGTTGCCTCCTCCAAGAAGCCTCTTAGGCCTCTCTTTCCCTATTCATTGGATGTGGTTTCTCTCACCTTCTAACCTCATGACACACTGTTCTTACTTCTCCAGAGGCTCTGTTCTCACTCTGCCTTAGAGCTCAGCAGTTTCTCTTCTGTTTCAACAAATCTAGGTAGGTAGAGGGTGTGTCGTTCCTTGCAAGCAGGTGCCCCGTAACTCACTTAGTACACCTTGCAGAGAGATCTCACACATTGGATGTCCCCAAATTCAGACAGGAGCTCTGTCTAAGGCCTCAGTTCATCATATTTGCATGAGTCTAAGATGTCAAAGATAGAGTATTGACTTAATAACAGAAGTGTTTCAACAGAAGAAATTAAAACTAGCTACATATCAGAGACACTCTTAAAGTTAATGCAATGTGACAAGGCCATGAATCATCAGTCTGTCTTTTGACAATTTCTTACCATTGTGCTGACCTTATTTGGTATAAGGTCCCCTTAAAATTGCACAGAAAAAAAGAAAAATACTCCTAACACAGTCAGCATGTCTCAGATAATGACAGACAATAGAATTCAAGCTTCCAACAGAGGATGCACCATAGCAAGTAATAATAATGGCCAATAAGAACCCTCATAGGCCTGATTCTGGGATCCTATTGCAGGAATATGATTATATTCTATATACTTAATTCTTCTGGCAGCTTTGCAAAAACCATTTTATAGATGAGGAAATTGACTCTCACACACTTAATCAGGAAAGATCTGGAATTCACAATTTTATAGACTGTTAGAATTCCTCTTAAAGAGTATGTGTCACAGCTGGGTGCAGTGGTAAATGCCTGTAATTTCAGTGGCTTAGGAGGCTGAGACAGGAGGACTGTGAGTTCAAAGCCAGCTTCAGCAATGGCAAGGCACTAAACAATGCAGTGAGACCCTGTCTCTAATAAAATACAAAATAGGACTGGGGATGTGGCTCAGTGGTCAAGTGCCCCTGAGTTCAATCCCTGGTACCCACCCCCCCCACACACAAAAAAGTATCTGGCCTGTTTTCTTTGTATAAAATGCAGATAAACCGAGTTTAGTGACATGTTCTGGACTAAAGCAGGGATGCTTTTTCTCTCTCTCTCTCTCTGTCTTTCACCCCCCCCCACACACACACATACACACTGAGTTAATAAGAGAATATATGAGCTACTTTCTATTCTCCCATCACACCAGGGTCACATAAATATTTCATCTCCATGGAATATTTTTCTATTTTGACCTTTTAATTTTCTTCAATAAAGTAGTAGAAAGTAAACTGAGACCTTCTGTATTCTTCAGGGGAGTGAGAACCACCCCCCTCTGGCAGCATTGCATAAGCCAATGCCCCCTTGCAAAGCTGAGATAGAAGTGATCCAGTGTTCTTGGTGGCTGTAACTACCTCTGAGCTCCCTGCAAAAAGTACCTGGTAAAGCCCATGCTGGGGACCTCTCATTTCTTGCATCTCTTGGCTGCCTCAGCCCCAATCCAGAGTCCTTGTCACTGTCACTGAATGCCACCCACAGCTAATGTGGAAGAAAAAATATGTTTAAAAGAAGGTGAACCTTCCATGCTCAGCAGAGTGACTGCAAACATTACCTCTCCTTTTTCCAGGGCCTATGGAACATTTCCTCTTAACAGCTGAGCTCTAATGCAATTACAAATTTTTCTCCAAAAAAAAAAAACCACTGGCTTTTTTGGAGAATAATGACATCAATAAGAACTCTTCTTAATTAGATGGGAGAGATGTTCACATAACCTCTGTTCACAGATACTTGAGAAATGTCTGATCTTTTTAGTCTATGTGTCTTCCCCTTTAGAAAAAGTTACAATTCAGATGCAGTCTGCTTCTGCTCAGAGTGTGATTTTTTTCTGTCTTGAGTTTAACCTATTGCATTATAATAAGTCAAGAGCAAAAGCTATTTGCAAAAGAGAAAAAATTGAACACAAGCTGTAGCTACCTGCAAGACATGGATAATACCCCAAAACAAGGTGGAACAAAAAAATTTAGACAAATTCTCTATTCACGGCAGTCAATGCCTATCAACTGATGAATGGATAAACAAATGTGGTATATCCATACAACAGGATATTATTTAGTCAGAAGAAGAAGTGACCTACCATTGTCTGCTACTACTTAGATAAACCCTAAAAACAACATGCTAAGTGAAAGAAGCCCACACAAGACCGCATATTATATGATTCCGTTTATACAAAATGTCTTGAATAGACAAATCTATAGTCAGAATTTAGACTTTGTGAAAGACATGCAGATGGGACCAAGATTTCTTTGGAATGATAAAAGCGGTCTAACCTTAGATTATAGTGATGGTTGCACAACTCTGGAAATTTACTAAAAACCATTTATACACTTAAGATGGCATGTATTTGTGGCATGAATGTTGTGGCATGTAATTTATGCCTCAGAAGATATTTTTGAAACAAATGAACTAAACTGGAGATTTTGATGTCCCACTACTTCAGAAACTGAACAAAACTATTGACCTAAAAGGGATAAAAATCTTTGAAAAATAAATTTTTAAAAGTATGATTTTAAAACATAAGTTAAAAGAGTCTTTAACAATTCATTGGATAAACAATTTACATTCTACATTCCTATGTGAGAGAAAAATATAAGAATTTGGTTAGGACTCCTCTTATCATGCCCCAGGGCTGGCACAGAGCACATCATAGAGAATAGTTCCACAAAGGAGTCTGATGATGTAAGCAGGATGGCATTAGTGTTTTCCAAAGGTTTATAACTCATTCTTTTGAATTTTAAAAAAAAACTGACATGCAGAATAATACACAAACCTTAGTCCTTAATTTTCATTGTATTGTAATTAATTTAGTCAACAAATACTTTTCCATCTGCCCTGTGATTTCTTCCTCATTTAAACTCTCACAATTTGTTTTAACAGGTTCATGTATTTTCATTTAAAAGATTTTCATCTACTTGATTTTAAGTTTGTTAGATGTGTACCTTATTGTCTATAGCAGTCTTTCCCATCACTTAATAAATCCTTATTAAAATACATGAACATTAAAAAAGAATAATTAAAATAAACTCAATGTGTGAGAAAGACGAAATACTAGATTACCTTAGGAAAAAGAAAGGTAGTAACTTTCTTATTTCCCTCAATTCTTCCCCTGCTTTCAGGCAGCAGTGAGGGCAGCCCAAGCTCACTGCCTTAGAAAAGGAAGGCTACAAATGAAAAGCAGAGAGCAAGTCTGAGCTTCCCATTCCAAAATAGTCTACTGAGAGACTTCAGCAGAGGAGCTTGGGAGTTTCAGAATTCTGACTTTGAGTACTCATACCCAGAGTTCATGTGGGAATCTAAAGGTTTGGCATGAATATACAATGATACAAGGACCAATTGTCCCCCACCCCACGTCTGTCCTCCTGCAGGGTTCTAGTCAAGTTACCAAAAGCAGAGTATACCTCTGTACAAGCATAAGGACAAACTTTGTAACTATCAGCACGATTTTGGGAGTCAGGGACTGCTGGTGTGACTGGTATAAAGAGAGTATGGTTGTTCAGAGAAGTTAGTAAGCACCAAACTCCATGGTTCATAAAGTTACACTGCAAAATATAAGAATTTTAAAAGTTCAGGTGCCAAGGTGAGCATGCTGGAGGTCTGGGCACATAGGTGTAGGCAGGGAGCTGCTCAACTATTTGCTGTTATGTTATGTTGCTCCTCTGTGCTTTAAGTTTTTCAGCTGGTTGAAATAATGAACAAAGTTTGGGACACATGGTTTAGGGAGCTGAATTAGGTCAGTGGTTCTCAAGTGTTTGTGCATGCACCTTGGGAGTGGAGGATGGAGGGGGTTGTGTTGTGTCTACTTTACTCTGTGTACTACATGCTATGCTGTTTGCACCAGACCCTAGTGTAACTCTAACCTTCTCTCACAACTCTCATCATGTCTAAGTGAGTCATAATAGGCTTTGCAAATGTTACCAATGCAGAGTTTTAGCTGGGTAGGAGCATAATGTTAGGCATGAAGTACTTATAATGAAATTCAGATTTTAAAATCCCAACCAGCAATGAATATTCAGATTTTAAAATCCCAACCAGCAATGAATACACTGGCATATCCATTTGCTTGTGCTTAATTTTATTACTGCTAGCAAAATTGTCAGAGTGATGAAAGGCTTATTCTCAGGCACTCCCTTCTCCCCACCTCTTTCATGAAGCCAGGAATTTAAATTCTTTCTGCCCTTCAGCAAAATCAGTACACTGGAAGTGGTCTGGGAAATATATTCCCATTAAGGAACTGATGGAGCTTCCAGGAGAGGTAGTTTTATTCCCTTATGAAGGACTGAGGAAGTGGCACCAAACATCCATTTGATGGAGGCCTTATGGAGCAGTAGAACAGGCTGATGTACCACAATTTAAATCCCAACTCTTTAGCTGGATGGTGGCACATGCCTATAATCCCAGAGGCTTGGGAGGCTGACAAAGGAGGATCACAAGTTCAAAACCAGCCTCAGAAATTTAGTGAAGCCCTAAGCAACTTAGCAAGACCCTGTCTCAAAACATTTTTTTTTAAAAAAGGCCTGAGAATGTGGCTCAGTGGTTAAGCACCCGTGGATGCTTAACCACTTAGCCGCAATCCCTGGTACCCAAAATAAATGAATGAATGAATAAATAAATAACTTTGACACTTACTAGTTGTGGGTCATGGGAAAGCCAACTCAGCTTTCTGGCACTTGATGTCCTCCTTGGGACTAGAAGATAATAATGTCTAGACTGCAGTGTTGTGGTGAGGGTTGGAAATTACCTGCAGAGTCTGGTAGGTAGTGAGCCCTCAGAAGGCAGAGCTTGTGTCTGTTTTATTCACCACTAATGTCAGTCCTAGCGTAGTCTTTGATTCATGGAGGGTCAAGAAATAGTAGCCATTGTTACTGAAAGTCTGCTCTGTTCTGAATAGTTCTTCCTCCTTCCATAATCAAGAAAATGGAGCTGCATGGCTGAGCCTGGCTTCCAGAGATCACTGACCTTCTATCCTTTAACACATTCTAGGGCAAAGAAGGAGCCTTCATGGTCCGAGATTCCAGGACTCCGGGAACATACACGCTCTCTGTTTTCACCAAGGCTATTGTGAGGTACGGTGCTGTCTCTGCTCAGCAGAATAGGAGAGACACTTCAGAATAGGGAGAGACACTTCAGGTGTGGGGTAATATAGAGCAAAGTCACAGGTAGAGGTCCACTAGAAATTGTGCAGCTTCCCCTCTTCTCTCTAGGAGAACCAAGGCCAAAGGGGCCAGGAACAGAACTGAAGAGAGTTAGAAAGGGACAGAGCTTTGGCTGGACCCCTGGTACTCCCCTGGTTAGCTCTGCCATTAGCAGAGCTCTAAAAGAAATGAAATATTTGCATTTGATGAATATATTATTTAATACACAGAGTAACAGAAAAGATAATTTCCAACCCAAAGCAAAAATATGTGAATTCCAATTCTGGATCTTCTAATAAAACTCTCCACATTTATTGAGGCCTTACCAAGTACCAGGAACTTGACAGACCATTTCAATCCTGAGAATCCCTGAAGGCAGAAACTGCCAAGCTCACTTCACACAGAAGAAACCAAAGCTCAAAAAGCACCTATGCCAACGGGGCTGACAGGGCAAACCCTCTTCATGCTCCAGCCAAACTGACTGCAAGACACTCACTGCTTAGCTGCCCCCCACCCTCGCCAGTCTCCTTCTTTGTAAAATGATGTCTAAGAGCTTATCTAGGTCTCAAATCCTCTTCTAGTTAGAAAATTGCTAAGCACTTTGGCAATAACCAAAAATGCAATAAACATTAATAGAAAAATAATCTTCAAAGTGTCCTAGGGATGTTTATTGGAAGTCAGAGGCCTGAAAGTCCATAAGATATGCTGGACAGAAATGAGAGGTCAAGTCTGTGTTGGGGTTCATTGATTCACTAGGAAGACACCCCCTGCAATACTGCTAGACAACATTTATTAAGATTTAACATAGCAGACGGATAGAAGGCAAAGTCAGACAAGGGAGAGGCACATAGAGCCAAGTCCGGAGAACACCAAACACAGCTTTCAAGATCTTCTCCCAGTGGGGTCACACAGGATATGCTTTGTTTCTCCAGCAAGGAGTTGTTGCAATGTGGTGAAGTATGGCCCACCAGAGGATCCAGGAGAGACTCAGCACCCAGGATTTTATTGGAGGCAATTTAAGTAGGCACCCTGTGCCTAGCATATACCAAAATCCCAGATTTCCAGAAGGAGAGCTTACATTCTGCATAAGCCACACTGTAGTACATATTTTAGTCATATCCTGCCACCCTCAGCAGGTTAGAGAATGGCGAGAGCCCTCCTGAATTTCCAAATACCTGCCAAGGGCTAACTCTGCAAGCAGGACTTTCTTAGGATGGGAGCCAGGCCTACTCTGTCAATTCTTCTGCTCAAAGTCAAATAAAAGTTAAGGGGCCAGAGCAGTGTACATTGGTACACTCCTGTAATCCAGCAGCTGAGGGAGGCTGAGACAGGAGAATGTCAAGTTCAAAGTCAGCCTCAACAACGGTAAAGCACTAAGCAACTCAGTGAGACCCTGTCTCTAAATAAAATACAAAATAGGACTGGGATGTGGCTCAGTGGTTGAGTGCCCCTGAGTTCAATCCCTGGTACCCCCGCCACACACACACAAAAGTTAAGGGGCCAGAGAGGCTTTGTCAACAGACACTGTTGACAGTCAGCTAATGACATCTATATCACCAGTCCTCCACTTTGAAGCTGTGAAAGAAACAATCAATCCATCCAATGCTGTTGCCAATAGGATCTAGGCGCAGCCCCAGAGTACATTTTAGCACAACACTGGGGGCACCAGGACCAATCTGTCAAGGGTATACACAAGTTGAAACACTGTATCTGCCATCCTTGTGAGAAGTTAGGAAACAAAAATAATAAGAAAGGGATGCCAGTAGACACTTGGTGTCTCAACATTGCTTCTGTGTTTTATTTGTTTAAAGTGAGAACAACCCCTGTATAAAGCATTATCACATCAAAGAAACAAATGACAACCCCAAGCGGTACTATGTGGCTGAGAAGTACGTGTTTGACTCCATCCCTCTCCTCATCAATTATCACCAACACAACGGAGGAGGTAAGTGCTAGCAGGCAGAGCCAGAGAGGGACCCAAACTTAGAAGTGACAAGAGCGCTACCTGGTTTCTCCATGCCAGATGAGCTGGCCATAAATAATAACTGAATACACAATTTTAAAAGGATGCTGAGTATTTGATTCATCTCACACGTTTCATGAGCAAACTCTACTATGGAAATCATGAATTTCACCCCCACCCAACTGTGTTGTGAATCTTCTCAGGATGCAATATCAGCAACTGGACTTTGGGTTTTTTTTTTTTTTTTCTAAAATAAAAGTAGCTCTCGCATCAGATTTTTTCTGTTGTGATTTAACTTAGAAAATTGCTAGAGCAAAGTTCTAACCATTGCCTTTGGCTTTTCAATTGACCTAGGCCTGGTCACCCGACTCCGGTATCCAGTTTGTTCCTGGAAGCAGAAAGCTCCTGTCACAGCAGGGCTGAGATATGGTGAGTAGCACCATTGGGAATGTTGGGCCTTTGAGCTACAACTTGAAAGGTCTGGGGAAAATTCTAAGTGGACTTCCCATGAGCCTAACTGTACCCCAGACTTCAAATGACCATCCAAACAGCTATACTGTATATGTGTAGACAGCAGCACTAATGAACATTTGAACTTTGCAGTGTGTGTTGGAGGAGTGATTGTCTGACAGAACATTCATCTAGATCAAATCAATATCCTTTGGTTTTACTGAGTCCATCAATGAATGTTTATTTTGCAAGAACTTTGATCTTTCTGCATGCAGTATTAAAAGTTTTTTAGAACTGAGAGTATAGCTTGGTGGTAGCACACACCAGGCTCTAGAGTTGATCCCAGCACCAAAACCAAACAAATAAAGAATTTTTTAAAAAATATTTTTAAATGTATTTTGTTTACATATTTTTTTATTTTTGAAAAAAAAATTAGATGTTGATGGACCTTTATTGTATTTATTTATTTATATCTGGTGCTGAGAATTGAACCCAGTGCCCCACACATGCTAGGCAAGCACTCTAACCACTGAACCACAACCCCAGCCCCTACATATTTTTTATCTGGTGCTGAGGATTGAACCCAGTGCCCCACACTCACTAGGCAAGCACTCCACCACTGAGTCACAACCCCCACCCCGCAAAACAATTTTATACCTTCAACAGAGTATGCACTCTAATGTAGCAGACCCTACAATGATCCCCTCCTGTCCGCTGTAACTTCTTCACCCGTTTGGGATTATCTGCCTGAAACCTGAAGGCATCTGAGTGTGTATCTCTTGGTCCAAACTGTGTGTTACTTGAGGAAGCAGTTGGTCTAATCTTCATTTTGTATCTCCTAGATTGGTGGTTCTCAAACTTTAATGTGCATCAAAATCTTCTGGAACACTTATTCAAAATGTTGACTTCCTGAACCCTAGGCAACACTTAGCACAACATGCTCCCTGAGAGTGGGTGTCTGGGGTCTGCATTTTAAAAAGTGTTCTAGGTGACTTTGACACAGGAGCCCAGGGGTACTTTGAGAAACTCTGCTGTGGACTCTTCATTCCTAACCAGCAGCATGTCTGGTTCACAGTAGATACTCCATACTATTTGCTATGGAGTCTCTGCCTCCAAGAGGTGGAGATCTGGCTGTTTATGGTATTAGAAAAAACATTGGTATAGGATAATACTTCTCTATCCTCCTTATGAAAACCATGCTATTCTGGTAACTATAGAATCCTAAAGTGTCCATGCTGGTTGGGATCTCAGAGATCATCTGGTCAGCCTACTCCTTAGGAAAACTGAGGCTCCGATCCTTTTGTTTGCTTACTGAACATTTATTGAGAGCCTGCCATGTGCCAGTCACTGTGCCAGCTTGTGCCTCTGTAGAAGGCCCCTCTGAATCCCCTCTTTCACTGCCATTCTGCCTAAAGCTTAGCAGTGTGCTGTGAACATAGCAGATGCTTTCGATGGGTGAATGGATGATGAGTGATAAATACAAATGAAATTTGTTCTATGTGAAAAACATTTTAGGAAATGGCTGGGACTTTGCAACAATCCATTTATGTATTTTTCTTTATAGCTTCATTATTGCCATTCTTCTTCTTTCCATGTTACTGCCACCTATGCATTTTTAATAGTTTTAAATGTATATTCTATGCTACTATTTGGGATAAAGGGTAATTAGCTATAATAGTTCTAAGGCTAGGATTTATACCATGTGCCATCTTTGAGTTATATTATACATAAGCTAAAGTTCTAGGTAGAGCTATGATGTTCTCTGGTAGCCCCTGTTCCTTATTATTTGCCCTAAAAATCAAGTGCCACCCTCCTCTCTCTCTTCAGGGAAATGGGTAATCCATCCCTCGGAGCTCACTTTTGTGCAGGAGATTGGCAGTGGACAGTTTGGGTTGGTGCATCTTGGCTACTGGCTCAACAAGGACAAGGTAGCTATCAAAACCATTCAGGAAGGGGCGATGTCAGAAGAGGACTTCATAGAGGAGGCTGAAGTCATGATGTGAGTGGTAAAAGAAGCACCTGCAGACACCCTGTGAAGCATGCCCTGGGCTGTGTTCTTTCAAACCCCTCTGACACCACATCATACCGCCTACCTTCTCAAACTCTGGCAGTGGCTTCCCACTGCACCGCAAATAAAATGAACTGCCTCACATGGTCTCCAAGGTCTGCCATGGTCTGACCCTGCACACCTCCCAATCTTCTCCCCGTCTCCCCTCTGCTCCATAACATGCCAGTTATGCTGGCCTCTATTCATGTCCACACATACCCTGACTCCATGTTATCCTTCAGGTCTTGGCTCCACTGACATATTTCTTTTGGGGGAGGGTGTGGATTCTATTTTCAAAACCAAGAGTCAGACAAGGTGACAATTCAGCAACAGAAGGTTTGGCACTTTGGGAGACTGGATTTTGGCTCTTATCCTTATCTTTTGTCTCCAGGAAACTCTCCCACCCCAAACTGGTTCAGCTCCATGGAGTGTGCCTGGAGCAGGCCCCTATCTGCCTCGTGTTTGAGTTCATGGAGCATGGCTGCCTGTCGGATTACTTGCGCAGCCAGAGGGGACTCTTTGCAGCAGGAACCTTGCTTGGCATGTGCCTGGATGTGTGTGAAGGCATGGCCTACCTGGAAAAGGAGTGTGTCATCCACAGAGATTTGGTAAGAGCATGCATGGCCAACACCAGCAGGTGCAGGGTGAAGGGCACATCCCATTGAAATGTAGGGTTAGCAAGACTGAGAATGTATTAATAAATGACAGGTCACAGATCACCTCCCTTCCTCTCTCAGCTTCTTCCTTTCTCCACCCACTGGTCCTATAGAAAAGTGTTTCATGAGGACAGATAGTTTATGCTCTCTGAGTTTCATTTTGCATGCTTCCAAAATGGAGCTAATGACCACTCCTTCTGATTTTCTTTGTCTTAGTTTTGTCCTGGTAAAATGAGGGAAATGGACAAGCACAGTTTTTCTTAAAGTGTTATCCACCATCTACCAGAATAACATTAGAATAACCCTAGGCCACCGTCAGAATCTCTGGTTTTGGGGGCTCAGGAATATTCATGTGTTTCCCCATGTGATTTCAAGTTTGAAACTCACTGGAGTCTTCAGTCTCCAAGGGTTCTTCCAGTGCAGCCATCTGTTTCTCCCTATTAAGGAATAACTTTAAGATGATCAACAACCTCAAAAACTTCTTATACTAAGCACATAGGAAACAGTTTCTTCATATCATCCCTGGTGTCAATATTTTCTTTCACATGGGTTTGGTATCAGGTGGAACCTATCTTTGGTTAGACAACACTGTGGATTTCTTAGAATCCAGAAGTGAAGATAAGCCTGCTCATCCTGTTAAAGGATTAACTTTCTAGCAAACTTGCAGCAGGTGCTTGTGAAGCTTAATTAACATTTGAGCTCCTCCCTGCCCTCTTACAACATACCACAGAAAGGCACAGACTGATGATGGGAAACTCCTGGATTACTGCCTAGCCACCAACAGTTCTCTTTTCTCTTTTGTTGGCCCATCTCTTCTCCAGGCTGCCCGAAATTGTTTGGTGGGAGAAAACCAAGTCATCAAGGTGTCCGATTTTGGGATGACAAGGTAACACAGGGACATGGTACCTGCACAATGTCAGCAGTGGTACTGAGGCCCCTGAACATTCTGATCTCTCTATTCTGTGCTCTTCTCAGGTTCGTCCTTGATGATCAATACACCAGTTCCACAGGTACCAAATTCCCAGTGAAGTGGGCTTCCCCAGAAGTGTTTTCTTTCAGTCGCTATAGCAGCAAGTCAGATGTGTGGTCATTTGGTAAGTGTCATCCAGGCCCCACACCCATGTGATCTAGGACTGTGGGAGACCAGCTATTTCCTTAGTCAGATGTAGATAACTCTACCTGCCCTGATCCCTGTATGTTGAGGGAATCCCACTGAAGGCCTATGTAAGAACAGCCCAGAAATATATGAAAGAGCCCTTATTATTGTATTTGTTCCTAGAAATTTTTGAAATGGCAGAGAGAGAAAAATAAAGTGAAAAGCAAAATTCTGGTAGCAGCTACTACGAGGTCAAAAGCCAAAAGACTCAGGAGATTAGAATATAAATTTCTTAAAGGCAGGGACTATGTTTTGTCCAATATTATACCACCACACTTAACCTCAATAAGTATTTTATTCATTCAACAACAATTTTTTGAGTAATCTGCCATTCACCAGGGGCTAATTTGGTGAACAGGCTGTAATGGTGCATAAGATAGAAGCCAAATTTTAGGGAGGTGAGGAAACAACAATAACATAAAGAAGCTAAGAGATACAAGAATTAGTAAAATAGGGGTTAATAAGTGCTACAAATAAAATAAAACAATAATAGGATAGATCTGCATTAGCTAGTATGCTCTGGGGAAGGGCTCTGTGAAGGCTGACTCTTGAGCAAAAAGTTACATGATGAGAGAAAACTGTCACAATTTAAAGGACCAGGGAGCAGTGTCTCTGACAGAAAGCCCAGCAAGTGCAACAGCTGAATATGTCCCCAAAGCAGGGGGTAATGATTTCTTGGAAGAACAGAACACAATGAAATTGCAGGTCATAGTAAGGAATTTGAATTTCTAAAAAGTGTAAATGGGCACGAATAAATGAATGAAGCCAGTGTAGTGGGAAAAGCTAAATGTTCTTCCTGAATTTGTCATGTCAAATCAAGTCAAGGTTAGTGCATACTAAAGATGTGCACAAAACTACACCAGATGATCTCTTCAATTTGGATTAAAGTAAGGATTATCTTTTGGATAGGAACTGTTCAGAGTGGTCTTGCCATTCTGCACCAAGGGCTTGCTAAGAATTTACTAATCATAGAAACAAGGGGGATCCTGGCTGATTAAATGTCTAAGGAAAGTACCAGTTTTAAAACCTTTAGCATTATAGAATGTCTAATTCTGAGCACTGAGTAGTTTGTTAATTATTAGTCCTTTTGATTTCTGCATTAAAGCAAATCACTATTCAGTAGTTTTAGCTGCTACTTTGTTAAGCAGGTTGAAGTTATAGAATGAACTTGGAAGAAGTTGTCCTGACTTCATTCTTGGAGACTCTTCTCTGCCCAGAGCATATAACTAGGAAGGATAAGGCTAATATATGGCCATTTCTCTGTAGATGACAAAGCTGATCACACTGTGCCAAGCTGGGGCCACACAAAGAGATGTTTGAAGCAATGACCACACTGGCACCTTCATCTTCTGACTCTTATTCATCCACAGGGTGTCGCCTGGGAATTTTCTGCTACATTTTCTAATTAGAGGGTTAGGCTGAAATGCTCCCTCCCTGTGATGGGTTATCTAAAGAGCGTCCAGAAATAAGGTTGATGGATGGGTACAGAGTATAAATGGTTCAGTGAAGAAAAGTGTGAGAAAACTGGGGTGGCAAGCCTGAGCGGCAGAGACCTGGATGGGCTGAGCTTCCTGCCTGCCCCAGCCCTTTGCATTAAATACAATTTTTGCCCTAATTAGCCAGGCTATTTTGAGCAAGTTAAGTAACCTCTTTGAGCTTCACTCAGTTTTCTCATCTACACATTAGAACATTTGTATTAAGCAATAGTTTCCAAGTCCTGCCTTAGCAGCAACGCTATGCTTTCAAAAGAAATCTCATGAGAAATTCTGGCATCTCAGGGTGCTGAACAGTCTTCTTTATGGCTCAGCACTTCCAACTCCTCAGGCACCTCTGGGGAGCCCCTGAATTCTCTGAGCCAAGGACTCTGAGCTGGCCATTTTAACAAGCTTCTGAGATGATCCTTATTCAGGTGTTGGGGGCTCACACTTTGGGAATTTCTGCCTCAAGTTTCTAGAACTCATCTTGAAAACACTAGGTTAGGTGATATGTAAGCTCCTTCTGGTTCCGGTGGCCTGTGGTTATATTAGTATGATATAAAGCCCTGGTTGGGTATGGCCATTCTACAGAGGGCAGAAGGGCAAATGGGATTAAATCAGAAGTCAAAAACAGACAACCTGAACATGTGTTTTTCCTAGTTTATATAGTACAGGTTGAGTATCCTCATTTAAAGTACTTGGGACCAAAAGTGTTTCAAATTTCAGATTTTGGAATATTTTCATATACATAATGAGTTTTCTTGAAGATGAACCCAAATCTAAACACAAATTTATTTGTTTCATATGCATTTTATACACTTAGCCTGAGGGTGACTTTATACACACACACACACACACACACATTTGTGTTGGGAGGGTACTGGGGATTAAACAATGAGACACTTTACAATTGGGTTACACCTCCAGGTATTTTTATTTTTTAAATTTGAGATAAGGTCTTGCTAAATTGCTGAGTTTGACCTTGATCTTCCTGCCTCAGTCTTGAAATGCTAGGATTGCAGGTCTGTGTTATTACACCCAGCTATATTTTTTTAATGACTTGTACATGAAACAAAGTTTCATGATGTGGAATTATCTGCTTGTGGTTTCATGCCAATAATCAACAATTTGATTCTGGTACATTTGGATTTTTGGTTCAAGGATGCTGGACTTGCATTTTAAAAAATCATATTGAGTTCACGTTTTGAAGTCTCCAATTTCTGATTTGTTTTTAAAGATCAGAAAATGTGACAATCCTGAGCTCTGTTTCCATGTGCATCCTTTAGCTGGAGCAAACCATAGCCGTCCTATTTTGATAGAACTTTTGATGTCCAGTTTTCCAGTCCTCACCAGTACCCATGGTGTCACATCTCTCCCACTCCCTTCATTTATGTCATGCATGTATAGACATTTCAGTTTTCGTCCCCTGCAACTTTCAGTTGTAGCTTTTGAGTTAGAAATAATAAAAAGCTTAGCTTGAGAATTCTTTGCCTTTAGGCAGGTTGAGAAATTGCAGTTTTTTAAAAGTAGGACAATAAATACATAAGTAAATAACTGGCAGGCCAAATAGGCCTCAGGCAGACTTGCTTTGCACTTCTTGTGGTCTGGAGGGAGAAGCTTGAATGTCAATGCCAAGTGCCTGTTTCCTTTTTTGTTTGTTGGTTGACGTCTTTCTTAGCTGTGTTTGCTCCTTGTTGCTTGTAGGTGTGCTGATGTGGGAAGTCTTCAGCGAAGGCAGAATCCCATATGAAAACAGAAGCAACTCAGAGGTAGTGGAAGACATCAGTACCGGATTTCGGTTATACAAGCCCCGACTGGCCTCCTCCCACATCTACCAGATCATGAATCATTGCTGGAAAGAGGTCAGTAGGTGAAGTGTTGTCCCTCTTTAATACATGATAATACACTAAGCCAGGGCCTGGAGAATGGCTCCCTCTTAGAAGGATGAGGCAGCAGGTTGACTAACAGATTAGCAGGAAGGTAACTTTGAAAGTCTTTACATTTTTTAAATTATTATTTTTAATTGTACATATTTTGGGGCACTGTTGACAATTTGATACTTGTATACAATGTGTAATGATCAAATCAGGGTAGTTACCATTTCAACATCCTTAAACTTTTTAAAAGTAATTTTTGATTACACATCGTAATTGTACATGTTTTATGGGATACAATATGATATTTCAATACATGAATACAGTGTGTGCAGATCAAATCAGAGTGATTAACATTTCCATATCCTTATCATTACTTTATGTTTGGAGGTTTAAACTCTTCTCTTCTAATTTTTTATAAGACATACAATAGGTTATAGTGAACTACAGTCAGCCCACTGTGCTGTGAAACACAACATATTCCTTTTTATCTAACATATCTTTTGGTACTCATTTTCCAGTCTCCCCCATTCTCCTTCCTCTTACCTTTTCCAGCCTCTAGTAATCTCTATTCTACATTCAGATTGACTTTTTAACTTTCTATATATATATATGAGGGAACATGCATTTGTCTTTTGGTGTCTAACATTTTACTTAAAATAATGTCCTCTTGGCCACTGTGAATGGTGCTACAATAAACATGAGAGTACAGGTATCTTTCTGATGTGTTGAGAAGTGGATCACATGGTAGTTCTATTTTTAGTGTTTTGAGGAACCTCCATAGTGTTTTCCATAAACATATTAATTCAGATTTCTACCAAGAGTGTATGTATTCCGCCACCCCCTTATTTTTACATCCTCACCAGCATTGGTTATTTTCTGTTAATCAATTGGATAGATTCCCCAACCCTAACAAAGTTAACATCAACCTTAAATATTATTCAATTTTCTATGTAATATCACAAGTCATTAGTATAGTTTCAGAGGATAGAGAGGGGCTATGTCAACACCCTTCTCAACTTTTTGAGCAGAAAAAAAAAACTTTATAAAACCATGAAAAGAACAGGAAGTTAGTTCTATAAATAGGGGACTAGGAGTTCACTTTTACTATGAAAATATTAAAAGGATTAAATTAAATTTTTTATTATTTATTCAACAATTCAGAATTTGGAGTCATTTCGTATCTTCCCAGATGGCTCACTTACCCCCATCCTTAGTTCATAGGCTCTGCCTTGAGCCACATTGATGTGAATCTTAATTGTCTTTTGGTGAGTTACAAAATTGTACAATTCAGCTAAAGTAGAAAATAGCTGAAGTGGAGAGTCAATAAAAACTCAGATTGTTAAAGGACAAAAAGGTAGAATGTGAAAATATATACTTATACAGAATACTTGGATTTTGTCACAGTTTTGCCATTTCTTTTCCATTAATCTTGGGCAATTGTCTCTGAGCCTTATTTTTCTTGTAAGATCATTAAATAATGCTTGATTTGCAACTTCTTAGAGCTTTTTATAACCAAAAAACAAATAAACAAACAATGACATAAAGGGGGGCACAAATCTTGTGTTCTCTACAAGGATTAAATGCTATAATAATATTAATAGCTGATGTTAATTTAGCATTTTTTTTCTCTTTTAACATTTTTATATATTTAAATTAATGGACCTTATTTTTTAGAAATTTTAAATTTACAGAAAAATTGAGCAATGCATGCAGAGAGCTCCTAAATACTCTCCTTGCTCTCTGGTTATAAATATTTTGCACAAGTGTGGTACACTTGTAACAATTAGTGAACCTCTGTCAATACATTGTCATTACTAGAGTTTGTAATTTACATTAAGGTCACTTTTGATGCTGTAGAGTTGAAGGATTTTGAAAAATGCATAATGTCATGTATCCACCATTAAAGTGTCATATAGGATAGCTTTACCACCCTAAAAATCATCTGTGCTTCTCCTATTCATTCTTCTCCCATCCCAAACTACTGGCAACTACCAAACCTTTTACCATCTCCAAGATTTTGCCTTTTCCAGATGGTCATATAGTTGGAATTATACAGTATGTAGCCTTTTCATTCTGACTTTTTTCACCAGTAATATTCATTTAATGTTGCTCCATGTCTTTTCTTGGTTTGGTATGTCATTTTTTTTATTGCAAAATAATATTCCATTATATGGATATACCATGGTTTGTTTGTACATTTACCTACTGAAGGAAATCTTGATTGCTTTCAGTTTTCAGAAATTATGAATAAAGCTACTATAAACATTTACATGTAGACGGATCCATTTATGTGGATCTATTTATGGGACGTAAATTTTCAACTCAGTTGGGTAAATGCCTAGTAGTGTGACTACTGGATCATATGGTAAGACTATGTTTAGCTTTGTAAGAAACTGCCAGACTGCCTTCCAAACTAGCTGTACCACTTTGCATTCCCACCAGCTATGAGAACTCCTGGTGTGCTTTGTCCTTATCCATTGGTATTAGTTGTGCCAGATTTCAGCCATTCTTATAGATGTATAGTGATAACTCATTGTTGCTTTAAGTTGCATTCCCTAACGACACATGATGGTGAACACTTTTTTGTATGCTTATTTGCCATCTGTGTATCTTTTGGTGAAATGTCTGTTCAGATCTTTTGCCCATTTTTCAATCAGGTTGTTTTCTTATTGTTGAGTTTTAAGGATTCTTTGTATATTTTGGGTGAAAATCCTTTATCAAATGTATGTTTTACAAATATTTTCTTTCAATCTATAGATTGTTTTTTCATTTTCTGTATATTTTTAAATATTTATTAATGTATTATAGTTAACATAATATCTGTGTCTTTTACAGAGCAAAAGTCGTTAATTATAACAAAATTCAATATTAATTTTTTCTTAATGAACTATGCTTTTGATGTTGTGTCTAAAAACTCATTGTAAAACCTGAAATTTCCCAGATTTTCTCCTGTTATCTTATAGAAGTTTTATAGTTATGCATTTTATATTTAGGTCTATTATGCAGTTTGAGTAAATTTTTATGAAAGGGATGAGGCCTGTTACTAGAATAATTTTGTGTAGATACCCAATTTTTCTAGCATTATTTTTTCTTTGTAAAAGATTAGTGTGTGTGTGTGTGTGTGTATATATATATATATATATATATATATATATATATCATATTATGTATATAATTATACATAGTATAATTATATATTATATATAATTATTTATTTGTTCAGCAATTATGAATGAAGCTGCTATAAACATTACATGTAGATGGATCCATTTTTGTGAATTTATTTAAATATAACTATATACAATATCTATATTACATAGTAACTATATATTATATATAGTTATATAGATAATATTATGCACACACACACACACACACACACACACACACACACACACACACATATATATATATATCTGAGCTCTCCGGTTTGTTCCATTGATCTATTTGTACATTCTTTCACCAGTACCATCCTGGCATGATTATTGTAGTTTTACAGTAAGTCCTAAAATAAAGTAGGGTCAGGTGAGCAGCATCTCCAACTTTGTTCTTTGTCATTGTTGTTTTTGCCTGTCCATATAAACTTTAGAGTCTGTCAGTGCCCACAAAATGACTTACTGGTTTTGTTTTTTGTTGTTGTTTGTTTGTTTGTTTGTTTTTGTTGTTTGAATTGTGTTGAATCAACATGGAAAGAACTGATATCTTAACACCCTAGTCTTCCTATCCATGAGCATAAAATCTGTCTCCATTTAGTTAGATCTTCTTTGGTTTCTTTTATTAGAATGTTACATTTTTCCTCATCTAGATCATACATATTGTGTGATTTATGCCTAAATATTCCTTTCTGATGAGATTTAGCTTTAATTTTATGATGTATTTTTATGTATGACATTATATTCTCAAAACAATTTTATGAGGTAAATTTTATTGTTATCTCCTTTTATAGATAACAAAACTAAAATTCAAAGAGCTTTAGGAACCTGTTTGTTCCATATCACCCAGTTAATGAGTGGTAAAGTTGAGATTTAAAGCTAGGTGATTTGATTTCAGAATACCTGCTTATAATAGCGAGAGAATAATGCTACCAGTATAATACATATAAAATCATGTTTAAAATTTAGCACAAGATACTTTTATTGCATTCTACTGGTTTGTGTTGGATTTATCTATGACACATAAGTAGAAGGAACTCAGACTTCTTTTTCTTCCTCCTCAGAGACCAGAAGACCGGCCACCCTTCTCCAGACTCTTTGGTCAACTGGCTGAAATCGCAGAATCAGGACTTTAGTAAAGACTCACTGCCAGGCCATGAGCTGCAGGTGACTGAAGGCAGAGTGTCCTCCTTTCATAGAGCATTAAAAACTGCCACCAGCCTAGGACTCCTGGAGGCAGCTTGGCCTGTAGCACTGGCCCCTGTGATGAATGCAGCCTCCTGACAGAGACCTGCAGCCAGGTCACAGGCAAGGGGTTGGCCACCAAGCTGAGAGCAGGCCAGCACAGCAGCAATGTCACTGTGTCCTCTCCGGCCTCTTGACACCTGAATGCACAGACCTCAGTCTGACGGCTTTCAAGGAGCACTTCTTGCACCTCTTAACAATAGGCAGAGAAGGTGTAGGAGCTCAGATTCTTATTTTTAACATTAAGCACGGATCTAAGGCTATGGTTCCGGGGATTTTCATTTGACCCAACCACACAATATGCCAGTATATGGGGGCCAAGGAGAATAAGAAACATGACTCTTTTTCTAAGAAAACCAGTGAGTTGGTTAAGGCCAGGAAGCATGCTCGGTTGCTGTGATGCAGTCAGCCGCAGTTTCCTGCAGTAGATGTACTGAAGCAGCTGCTTACACCAGAGGCCGGATGTCCTGAGAAGCAGCTTCATGAGGCTTCACAGAGCACACTGCCTCATCACTCCCTGGAGGAGCTTGGATGGATCGGGATGGACCATTCAGATCCCATGATTGGACCATGAGATATCAGATGTCTAGTCAGGAATAAGAGGGCATCTGAGAGGACCACCTCCCCCCACCCAAAAACAAACAAACAGAAAAAAGGCATTACCGTGCTAATGCTCCCATTTTGTATCAAGTCATGCAAGTGACTGTGCCTCCTCTTCTACGCAGAGTGCTTAGGAAATGATTATTTCGGAATCCTCATCATTCCAGCCACTGGGAATCAGCCCCCTCTCTGAATAGTACTACCTGCATCAACAGGGGGCAGCATTGTGTCGGCCAGTGTGGTCTTACAGAGAGTAGTTCTAAGGTTGAGACTTCAAGTCTCCCAAAATTCTAGGAGAGGGATAAGAACTTTGTTCTTGGTTAAACTATTTATATGGAAACTGAGTCAAGCACTGTGGTGCTTCCAGGATATACAGGATGTCCAACTGTTGACTGAGTTCTTGTATGGCAAAGTAGATACATATACTGAGCTACAAGCCCTTCCTGGGAAATGCACCTGAGTTCACATCAATTTAGGAAGATAATATTATTTCCCCCATTTTAAAAAGCCAAGAAATGTGCCCAAGGTGACAGAATTGGGAAATATAGAGCTGAAATACCAGCCAAAGTCTGACTCCATTGCAGAATCTTTGTTATTTTTTTTAAAATATGTATATTTTTAGTTGTTGATGGACCTTTATTTTATTTATTTGTTTATATGCAATACTGAGAATCAAACCCAGTGCCTCACACATGCTAGGCAAGCACTCTACTACTGAGCCACAACCCCAGCCCAGAATCTTTGTTTTTATTCAACACTGCCTTCTACTGAGAGTGAAAGGGATTGCAAAGGAGATCAAAAACTGGAGAAACCCACAGACTGCCCATAAAGAAATCAATACAGCACCAATGAGGAATGCTGCTTATGCAGAGACCACTCAGTGGACCATGTGGAGCTCCAACTTGAAATAGGATCTTCGCTTTCTTCACCTTCATCCTCATCTTGATCATGGTTAGTGACTTTGTAGTTACTCAGTTAATTAACCCTTTAATTTTCCCTGCCCACCCGGATCACATTGCATGAAGCCATTTACAGATGAACTTCAAAGTAGATCCTACCGCAGAGGGATAAATATTTCCCTTAATTATCCACCTCAACTTTGAGCTGCAGTCTTCTTGGACACTTTGTATGTGGGGGTATTCCCTGATATAAAACAAACTTGCTTTTTCTCCAATGTTCAGTTTAAACTCTTAGAGAAATTATCAGATAGTGTTGCAATCAACTCTTTTGAATTACGATATTTTTGGCTGGCTTGAGATTTAGATGCATAACTTTTAACCATAATTATTGTGAAACAGAGCCTCAAGATAAAATTCTATTATTCAGAAGATGATCTTACTCAACTTATCCACAATCGTCCCTGTTTACATTTTAGCATTTTGTGCATTCTCTTTGGAACCCTTAATTAGAGACCATTTCTGGGACATTCAGCCCTGAAGGAAAACATCAGAATGGACTGATCTCTGTGGTTTGGCTTAGAAAACTTTCCTCTGCATGATATTATCTTTTTTAAGCTCAGAGTCGTTGGGGCTTCAACTGAACACGTGTACATCACTCACCTCCCAGTGTCCTGTATTGCAAAACGGGCTTCTTGTCAGATGATTTTCCCTCTCACATATTGAAAATGGTGCTCTGCATTCACAGAGAATTCCCTTATACAAGGTTTTTGTTTTAGTTGCATTTTGTAGATTTTGAGTCTATGTATCTTTTTAGACTATGTATTTATACTTAAGTCAGATGACTATTTATTAGTGTACAGTCACTGTTAGTGTTCAAAATAAAAATGTTACAAATATATCTTACCCTTTTTAGAGCACACAAAGTTGCATATGTGCAAATAAAACTGTTTTAATAAATGTATCATTCATGGCTTAAGTTCCAAATTTATCCAAATGGTAAACTCTTAAAAGTTTTACACACACACACACACACACACACAAATGTTACTTGGAGTGGCAAGTGCCTATAATCCCAGCAGCTTGGAAGGTTGAGGCAGGAGAATCCCAAGTTCAAAACCAGCCTCAGCAACAGCGAGGCACTAAGCAATTCAATGAGACCCTGTCTCTAAATAAAACACAAAATAGGGCTGGGGATGTGGCTCAGTGGTCTAGTGCCCCTGAGTTCAATCCCGGGTACCCACCCTACCCCACCCCCCAAAATTGGCTACCTTGTTTTATCTCCCCCCAAAAAGTATATCATTCAAAACTATTCATTAAATGTGGACCCTCCAATGCTTCCGATGTGTCATGCACTCAGCACAGTACACAGCTTTATAGAAACAAAGAATTTTGGCAGTCTTTACTTTCAAGAAACTGGGTCTGGTAGGGAAGGCATACAGCAGATATATAGTCAAATAAAATTATAGTACAGCAATGGAAATATAGTCAAAGAAGAGAAGAACCCAGAAAGAAACTCAGAAAATAATAGAATTAATCAGGAGAGGGATACTATACTCAAAATGTGGTCCCTGGACCAGTAGCAACAGAATTACCAGTTTATGAGAGAAGAAAAAATTCTCAGGCTTCACTCTCACTTACTGAACAATAATCTGCATTTAAACTATTTATTTATATTTTGGTGCAGGGGATCATACATACATTAATGTTGGAGTAGCATTGTCATAGAAGATGAAATACCTAATTCAGTTTGAGAGATAAAATATAACTTTGTTTTGGCAAGTAAGTGAAATAATAGAAATAATTTCCAGGTAGAGGAAATAAAATATTTGGGAAGCTGTTATCAGTTTGATGTTACTGGTGTGTAAATGTGTGTGTGTGTGTGTGTGTGCGTGCGCGCACACACACACGTGCATGCTCTGAAAGGGTGGTAAATTGAAACTGAGAATATAAATTTAGACATATTTTAAAAATCTAAGAAGGCAGACTTTTACACTGTAGGTAGAAATATCAATGAGCAGAAAGGGAAGGTCAAATTTGTTTTTAAAAATACATCCTAGCAGCATCATAATGGGTAAACTTGTTAAAGGCAAAGCTGGTGGAAGAGACATCAGTTTGGAGATGATTTTTTCTCCTTGTTCACAGTACCAGATCATTGTTCATTCTCATTCACTCACTGTCATCTGCTGTGTGGGTGACATGTGGAAATTATAATTCAGAATTCCTCAGTCACTGCTGGGCAGCAATAAATAGCTATTCCCCTTGCTCTTAAAATTTCAGTGAAAAAAAATTAAAAAAAAATTAAAAAATAAAAAAATAAATATAAACAAACAAACAAACAAAAATTTCAGTGAAATAAAAGCTGGGCTGTTACAGCCTTGATGTGTTGATCACTCTGTATGTTTCAGCTCACCACATACCTGTGTCCATTGCAGAGTCAGATCTTGCAGTAGGTATAGGCATAGGCAAGAAAGCCTGTGGCTTCTACTCAGTGGTTCCTAGGATTCGCCTCCAGGCTAACTCCCATGGATAAATAATCCACATGGAAATGTTCTAAAGTAAGTTGGAAGAACAGACATGCTTCTCAGAATATTTTTCCCCCCACAGACACCAATTCTCTCTGAGTCTCCCAACACACAAAACCATCATCCTACCTTTCTGAGGAAGAGAGAAAATGTATGCCATTTGACAAGATGGGGAGTGTGGGGGTGGGGAAAAACAGAAGGGAAGGGAGGGAGCATATATGCAGAAGGAACTATGGATTCCCCAAGTACTCTCTCAAAGAGAGTTGGGAGTAGAAGCTGTATTTGCACAATAAACACAGATTTTTACATTAGAATGCATTTTAATTTGTTATGGCTTTATGGAAAATGCTGGAAATTTACCGTGCTAAAGCCCACTCCCCGGAGTCACCTCTTGATGCCAGCACTGTGTACGTGAGCAAATGTGTGTTTGAGTGTCCCCGTGTGTGACCCTATCTACGAAGACTTCATGATTCTCCCCAAGGCATAATGTATTGATGGCTTGTAGGAGAACAGAATCATGTACATATTGTCAGAAGAAGTTTTAGAGATTATCTATTTCATAAAAAGTTGCTATTCACCTACTATGGCTCTGTGGTAGGTGCAGGGTCTAAAAAAATGAATAGGACATCTTATCTGTTGGGACCAAACCCGTCATATTCAAATTAGGATAATTTAAGCATGGCTCATTTATAAAATGACTCTTTAAATAAAACACGAGGGAGGTAGCAGCTGAGCAGTGTGTTACGGTTTAAATGTTTCATGCTGAAACTTAATCCCCAGTGCAGCAGTATGAAGAGGCTGGGTCTTTCCAAGGGAATTAGGTCATGGGGCCTCCACTCTCATGAATGGGATTAGTGCTCTTATGAAAAGACTGGAAGGACTCGGTTTCTTTATACCTGTCTGCCATGTGAGGACACAGCAACAGGTGTTAACTATGGGCCAGAGGGAGCCTTCCTCACATGACACCTAGTGTTCCAAGCCTTGATCTTGGACTTCCCAGCCCCTATAACTGTGAGAAATAAATTACCCAGTCCAACATAGTTGATTATAGCAGTTAAAAAGTCATCATCCCTAGGTCCAAGAGGAACAAGGAGGGAATGTGGTCATTTGAATGTGGAAGGTGTCCCTCAGAGAATGTTGAGAGGAGAGAGCTTTAGTAAGGGAAAAGAAGCCCAAGGCAACATCAAAGGGATGTGACCTGTCACACATTACTCCCTTCCTCCCATCAACTGCTGAGACTTCTGTTGATCCAACCCAACCAAAGCCAGAGGGCAAAAGGGCCCTAGCAGAGCAGTCCAGAGAGGTCAGTTTCTGGGCAGAGGGCAGGGTGAGAAGACTGGAGTGGTTCTGGGTACAAAGAAAAGGCACCTGGTCAAGCCAACAGCCCTTCCTCTAAGATGTTCTCAGGCTAACAAGAAAGTCCAACATGTAAACAAAAACATGTGACTCTTATTATTTGTGGATTTCATGTTTTGAGAATTTGCCTATATTGCCCTCAAATCAATACATGAGGCTTTGCTTTTTTTTTTTTTTTTTTTTTGCAGTCGATGATGACAGCTCTCCATATGACATTCCCAATGGCCTATAGAGCAATGTTTTCTCTCAGCTCAGCTCTCAGGCTGTAAATAAGTGACCTTTATGGAGTCTCGTTAGTGGCACATTTTTGTAATTTTTATTGGTGATTTTAGGGTTTAACATGACCCCAAAGTGTAGTGCTAAAATTATGTGTATTGTTCTTAAATGCAAAAAAACACTGTGATGTCTTACAGGGAAAAAAATGTATTAGAAAAGCTTTGTTCAAGTAAGTCTATTGCTGTTGACCATTAGTACACATTAATGAATCAACAATAGATGTTAAATCAGGTTTTTCTTAAACAGAATTATGCAATAAAACAAGATTAAGTATTGATTGGTTGACAAAATGTTGTGACTAAAGGCTTTTAGGGAATTTAATACTGCATGTCTCCTACAACAGTTCAGTATTTGCTAGTTGAGTATTCACAGTAACTTCGTAGCACATGACTACTGAATAACAAGAAGAAACTGTAATCATAAAAGACTGTTTGGGTTACCTGATGGAAATATGGTCACAGAACTGTGAGACCACAAAGGACAGAGAGGGCTTCACAGAGGGACTTAAGTCTGAGCTGTGTATTTAATGCAAGTTCCAAGGAGACGAGGGTCTGGAAGGACATTTCACACACAGGAACCACAGTGCATAAAAACACATATTATTCC